AACCCCCATTTATATAATTGTCAAATCTTGCATTCCCATTCAAATAAAAACATATTTTCTGAGATGATCTTAAGGCTAATACTCATTTAAATTAATGTAGATGCAGGGATTCTATTTAAATCAATTGGGATTTTTTTTGACACCCTAGGAATCGTCTATTAAATCCCTATTCATTAAAATGGAATTTCGTCAATATTAAATATAATCACTGATTCTCATGGTTAATCTAAGTATCGTATTAACAAATGCCAATCCTGTTAGAATCCCATTAAAGTGAATGTATAATTTAACATGGGATGTAACCATAAGTCAATTGTGATTTCTGCAGGAATTGTTCACAGTTGAATTGTGGGATTCGAAAATAATTGCTAGATGAATTATCTCGCAATAGTGAATATGGTAAAGAGTAATGATAATAATAATGGTTCTGGTTTCATGAAGGGAAATTTGTAGCCCTAGATACTGATGTTTGGTCACACTCATTACATAAAGTGCTTGCCACAAATAAACCACAGTACCTTGCTGATCTCACCAAGGCGCAAAAACCATCACGCAAACTACGGTCATCCTCGCAGCAGCTTTTGGCTAACCATTGAACAGACTGCATCGTGCACTTTCAGATGCGCTTCTGTAGCCATCTGGAACACTCTTCCTTCCGATATTAGGAAGCCACTGGAGCTGTGCACTTTAAAATCTAAATTGGAAACTAATTTATTTACAACTCCTTATTGTGTTTAGTTTGTTGTCCTTCCCTCGCATCTCTGATTAGCAAGGTTGGCTACATATGGTAAGAAATTAGTTCTACATACATGCAAGCAATGCTTAATGTTCACAGTATCATCATTTTCAGTCTTTCCCCGTGAAGAGTATGTGTACACTATCACCACATTCTCATGAGTGGTGCAATGCAGGCTAATTAGGTTCACGCACTGGACAAGTGGGTTCAGTGGGTCCAGACTGGATTCCCACGGCAGCCTTATTGGGCTAAGCCAGCACTAACAAAGTCGTGTGACTGGCTTTTAGTGGGCTTCGTAGTGTCTGTTCCTTCGGGAACTATACACTTTCACCCATGCTTTCATCAAGACTTAATTGTGACCTCACAGGGTCAACTTGGAAGTGAGAAGCATAGTCAATGGCATATCCGACTTCAGTCAATTTCATTGTGGAATTTTATGAAGTAAAACATTGTAGAAAAAAACCATACAAAATATGTTTAGCTTGGGATAGCATAACCTAACCCAAGTGAACTCTAAACCTAGTATTATTTTTAAGGTAGGAGCCAAGTCGATGGAGCAGCGCGGCTCTTAAAACGTTGGGAGAAGAAGATGCGGCTAGCTGGGCCACTCCAGTGGTCATGGATGTATATAGCACGAGGATTATATTTGGAGGAATGTGTGATAAATAATGTGGGTGGGAATAGGGTCTAATATATCCTTGAATACTATCACATGTCAAGGCTTCAAGAGATGGCCACATATGGCAACTTTAATCAATAACCAATAACAGCACTAAATCGCTAAACACATTCCTGCGGAGGGAGCTGGTAAGAACGTTGGGTTGCTCGGTCAATGGCCAGGGTCAACGGCGGCACCACGTGGTGTATTCCGCAAATATGCCCGACTGTGAGGGTGGGCACAAGCCGGCGTGAGTAGGTGAAACGTTGAGTTTTACAAGGGCACCACGGGGTGACCAGCCCCACCCCCCACCCAGCCCCTCCCCTCCCCACCCAGCCCCTCCCCACCCTCCCCTCTCCACCCAGCCCCACCCCTCCCATTTTTGGATGCACGACGGACGGACACAATAATCCCCTGTAGGCTGGTGTAACCAGGAGGTTTCTACCAGTATTAAACTACTTTAAAGGTAACAGACGTGAAATCGGAATAGCGCTGGCTCACCACGGGGCTTATGGCGTGCTAGCTGGGTACTTTTTTGAAACATAAACCCCACGGATCGCGAGCAAAACCCCTCGCAAGTGTCGGCCACACACGGACAAAAAAAATTCCTTTTATAGGTTAGAGAAAAATACATAGTTTTGGTGATGCGTCTAACACCTGACACTCTGTGCGTAACGCTGGGTATGCTACGTGGATTTTCACGCAATTTTTTTTAGTTTTTCATGAAATGCTTAGTCAAATTGTTACTAATTATTAGTTTTTTACAAGAATAATCAATTATCTCCAAAAATATACCAGCACCGCTTTTGATAAAAGTCAAGTGCGCCCCTGTTTTTGTATTTTGTGTGACAACAGTTGTTTTTGGACAGCGAATATGAATTTGAATCAAGAAGCAGAATCACTTTTAATTTGAATTCAGCAGAGATTCACTTTGATCTCTTTAGCTCACAGGGTGAACATTTGTGAACATTTGTGAAAATTAGTGAACATTGACCTCTCCCCTTCCTATAAATAATAGTAACTTTTTTCTAATTCATATGAATTCAAAAACCAATAAGTTATTGTTATCGAGTGCAAATTCATTTTGGCAAAAGCGACCTTCTCACATTTTTTGCAAAAATTTGTGAAAATTAGTGAACAACCTGTCATTTCAGTTTATAGATAGTTTATTGTTTTTGTATTCACATCAATACAGAATCCAGTAAGTCGATATTTTCCTACAACAATTGCATATTTGCAACAAACATAACTCGAGAAACAACTGTTTCAATTTTTTTATTCACTCTCACAGTTGAGGAAATATTTAAGTTTGGAAACAATTTTTTTTTATTGAAACATTTCGTTTACTTTCTTCCTGATAGAAAGGTAAATCAAACAGTTATTCTAACGCAATGATAAAGGTGATTTACAGATACAATTCGATTAAATAAATTCAATACAATCTTTATTTTTTTTGTCTTTTTCAATAAATGAAATTTTATGAACCCGTCATATGACGGGCAATTACACTAGTATTGTAATATTTTCCACATGGACCAGTCTCAGAGGGCAGCCTGTCCAATTAAAGCCCTTTTCAAATTGTGCATTGCACGAATTAAGCTATGGATTAGAGCCCAATGAACCCGAACAGAACATGTTCATTTCATGTTGCGATTTGTGTTTGTCTTAGTACAACTTTGGGATGAGTCTCTACAGTATGTAAGTTGAAGATTTAATATACTTTCTAAGTTGATGATGTTGAATGCCAGTGTCAATGCAAAGTAGTTAAAAGGGTTAATTGAATCAGAGGAATACAATAAAGTGTTCATCATTGAAACATGCTCAAATAATCGTATTCATATACAGTGAAACCTTGGATTGCGAGTAACTTGGTCTGCGAGTGTTTTGCAAAATGAGCAAAATTTTTCAATAAATAATAATTTGATAAACGAGCGATGTCTTGCAATACGAGCAGTACGTACAGTATACGCTTTGTCTGCCGAGCGTCACGTGATCACAACTGAGCCAATGGTTCTTCTCTCTCTCTCGCTGTGGGATTGTGGGTAATCATCTCCCATGCTCGGTCTCAGTCGGCGTGCCTCACTCGTATAGTCAACATCCGTGCGAGTGTATACTGCTTACTACAGTACTATAGTGTTGAACACGTGTATACTGTTTACTACAGTATAGTGTTGTGACCACGTGTGTGTGCGTAAAGCATTTTTTTGACTGTTCTTTAGTAACTGTACTGCAAGTGAAAGTCGTCCTACACAATAACCCTCCTTCTCCTCTCTCTCGTCTCCCTCACACCAGCCACAATTAAATGTAATTAATAAATTTGATTACTTTATATTAAATTTAAATAATAAAAATATAAAAAGGTATTTTGTATTAATAATTTTTATATGAATACAGTAGTTTTAGGTTGTGGAACGAATCATTATTATTTCTTATGGGGAAATTCGCTTTGATATACGCGTGCTTTGGATTACGAGCACGTTTCCGGAACGAATAATGCTCGCAATCCAAGGTTTCACTGTATTTATGACGGTGTTGAGAACATCCCCATAAAGCAGCTGGGTTGATAGAAAATGTACGGAAAAAAATAAATCGGTCATAGGTGCAGTCGGAAGCAGATGTTGTTGCCTTCATTATGGTGGATAATTGGGAGTTGTAAAACGGATGCTTATTTTGGTCAGTGGATGGAAAATTAGCCACATGCAATTCACCAATGTAAAGATAAAATTTCAAAGAAAGCCTAAAGGCAATTACATATCAAAAGACAACAAACAATTATGTGCAAATAGAAACAAATAATTGTTATAAAATGTTCAAGTGATATCCACTTTTCATGAATTACATCACGTGGTCACAACATTCCTGTGTGAGCATTAACTTTCTTCATTGTAAACAGACGAATGCCAAAACAAAAAATGCTTCAACAATCTTTGGCACCAATCAAATATATCCACACAAATTATCTGATGATGCTTTGGCAGTGGTGCACAAGCAAAATAAACAAAAACAAAACATCAATATAGTTGAGAATGCTCTTTTTCGATCTACCCATTGTTATTTTAGCAGGCAATATACAATTAGATAATACAATGTTAATGTTACAGCACGTGTGTAATGTTAAACAGCACGTGATTCCCTATGCAAACACTCTGCATTCAGTTGGGCTGCAATACTGAAGGGCAGTCAGTGAATGAACACAATGAAGCTCATTCACTATATGAAGCTGACAATGCAACTATACAAAAATAAAGCATTCTTCACACTTAAGCCCCCAACGTAAATGAAATTTGGTGGGATAAATTAATCATCCAAAAATACCAGACATTTGGACAGTTCAGCACATGTTGAGGGAACCTTTATTTTATTTACAAAAAGTCAATCTCTGGATAACCCAAGCTAACATGCATTTGGAGACATACAGGGCCAATGACACAAAGGATTAATTGCATATTAAGCGATCTTCTGCTGGCACTTTTATGCCATAAATAAATAAAAACTGCATCCCAATGCTTGTTGGCGTGACCTGTGGCAGAGAGCAAAAGGCCCCCACGCGAACGCAAAATAATTATCTAAAGACCCCGACTCATTAGCGCCACACCTCCCGCTCACCTCTACTTCGTAGAACCTGCTGGTCGCATGGGGCTGACGTGCCAGCAGGTGAGTTGGGAGAAGAGGCCCCTAACAACTCTCAGAAGCCAGAGGGCTGCGCGCCTGTCGCTCGGATGGCCCCAGCAGCAGACGGCCCTGCAGCAGTCATTAGATTCCTCGCAAGAGCCAAACCTGGCAGGAGGGAAGACCAAACAACAAGCGGGGCCTGTTACACAACCGTAGAGGCTCTTAATTAGCCGGACTTCATTGCCGTTTAGTTCGTGGCAGGGTTGCGTGCTTGCGTCGCGTGACACATGCACCTTAAGTAATGAAGCCTTCGTAAGCTGCTGTTTATCAGATATGTAGTGGAAATAGGGCCACGGGGCTGCAAGCAAATTCACACGAGGCGCTGCGCATCAGTCGCAGGTTGACGTGACGCACCTATTTAACGACAAATTAAAATTGTCCTGTTGCGGCAATATACACTCAATTTCTAATTACCTAACATAAGAACACATACCCAGAAGATATTAATAAAACTATTTATATTTTAAAAAACAAGTAAAGTTCAACAACGCATGGACAGCTATGATGGATGGTGTTCGTTTACATGATATACGAGTTCATTAATCCATTCGTTCCATTCATTAATTTGTTTATTTAATATATTTGGCCAAGACGTACGACTGGATGACGTGCCTTGCTTTAAACACGGTCACTGCCTGCAAGGTCATCTACAACTCTCAACTAGTGTTGCATGGAGACACTTAAATAGTATGGATAGATAATATTGGCTTCATAGTAGTTTCTGATTGAAATCTATGTTGTTGGCATGAGATTCAACAAAAAACATGACGTAAGAACAAAGGTTTGGGCCAATAACATAAAACATGAAAAAATCATTAAACTAGTTAACGCCTGAAAAAATGCATGATATGTATGCACATTACAATATAAATTATTCAGCAGATGAAACAAAAAGGCCAAATAATGCGTACATAAAAGCTGGAATAACACTGTGAAATTAGCACATTCATTATGTACTAGTCTGTAGACTATGCCCTTTGCAAATGGCTTTTGAAAATCGAGCGCTACACAATGTCAAGTTGAGATGTTGAGTGTGATGAATGCATTTAATTAATCAATTTCACGAGGACTTTAGAGAAATCTACCCAGCAGCCTATTGCAATTTAGCCTCCCTGAAAAGCCTGCATGCATATCACCCATTGTGATGTTGTCTAGAATGTTCACCAGGCATGAAGGGGAGTAACCCAGGGATGACATGGATAATTAGCCACCATTAGCATTCTTTTTGAGTAATTATATAATGCTTCAGGGAGTGCTTGGCTACTGAATGAATATTTGCTATATCACGATGGCAAGCAACTATTTTCCCCAACTTTGTAATTGTATGTCATGCATTAGAAGCCAAAACCATCACCTCCACACCTTTCTACAAGTGTGAAAAAATACTGCATTAATTTAAATCAATAAATAACAGCCATACGTGGACAAAAAACATGAGTGAATTTTGTTATCATTTCACACCTACGGTAAGTCCTCGCTTAACGTGTTTTCATACGACACATTTTCACTATAACACGGTTCCTCAATTAGGAAACACTTCACACAACGACGTTTCTGTGTGATTGACTTACTTTAAGCTGCGCAGCCGAGTGATCACACAGTACGCAAAACGATACAGTACACGGTGTACCCTAATCTGTTCTTTATCCTGCCATGGGATGGCTGCAGGCTGATTTGATAGTGCAAATGCGATTCAATAGAGTAATTCTTTGTTTTTCGCAGTTTTGCGCCAAAACGCAGTACTTTCAGGAACGTATCAACCGCATTAAATGAGGTATGACTGTAAATGCGTATATGATCACAAACAATGCTGTTTAAAATTGCTTGTACTGAAATATATTTTTTAGGTTAAATCAGTACCATACAATAAGTTAAAGCTAAATAAAGGATTATAAAACATCTAGTTGAAACATCGAGTCAAAATTGACAAAAAGGTATATGTACATTCCTACAAGCATTCAAAATAATATACTTGGGTAGTGACTGTGAATGTCACTGTGTGGTGCCGGGCTTATGAAACCACGTCGGATAATGTCTTGTCATTATGTGTAGCATGCTTACTGGGCGTAGTACCAGCCCTAGCGGGACTTGGGTGAGCGCTGGTCAGCACGGAGGCACCACGTACAGTGTGCGGTGCGGGCTCCCGGTGAGGGAGCGAGGGAGTGTCAGCCAGCCAGGGTTACGTTGGGACATGATACGCTGGTTGACCTGCCGACACGTGACCGAGGTGTTGGTCCTACCGTGTTTCAGGTCTGCTTTGTGTTCACAAATGCGGTCCTAGACATGTCGTGGCAGATCACTGTTATAATTCAGTAGGTTCACATGACATTGACATCTCCAAGACAGAGGTTCTTTGCAAGCCATCCGGCTACCATGAGAGATTCGTTCATGAGGCTATCCACATATACAAACACACACAATTTCAACCGAGAGGATGGATTCTGGCTTAGCAATCATTGGAAGGATTTGATAAACCATTTCGGGTCTTAATTGATTGATCACGCTTAAGGTGGCTTTCAGACCGCATCCATTTTTCGTCTCCCCCCTCCTCTTTTCCGAACATAGATGGACTCGTCCATTTGAACAAACTGTCAAATCGCTATCCGTGATGCTAACGTTAATAAAACCGCCACTTTTTTCAAATTTTCTTGTTGTGGTTTTCACACCTGATGATGATTGCTTGTGTTGCAGTCGAAACGTCGTGAAAATTTTATTGTTTTATGTTTTTATTATTTTATTGTTTCCCTTCTACGTGACTTTACCGAAAGAACCCAGAATATGAATTCCTGCAGTCACGAAAGCTTTAACTCAAAATAGCAAAACATGTTCAAAAAAATATTTAGTTTGAGCAGGTTTTATGGCCACAGGAATAACATCAATTAAAAAAATAAAACCTACTTTAAAAAAGTAACTAAGTAAAAAATTATCATTTTTTATGTAACAGTATCATATTTATCAATGTGTACAGTTAAGTTTTCATCTACTTTATGGAAAATGTAAGACATTGAAAAGTGTTCTACCTGAAAAATCATATTAACCATTTATACCGACATTTTATTTGCCAAATTGACTGTACATGGTCAAATAAATCTTGACTTAAAGCTTTTGTGACTGCAGGAATTCATATTCTTGGGTCTTTCGGTAAAGTCTTTACCAAAAGACCCAAGAATATGGTCAAATAAATAACAGCTTCCGAAAGCAATGATGAGACACCAATTGTGTTATTTTATTTTAGGAGGCAAAGCACAGTACATTATTCAATACAACTTTCTGATTTCGACTAAAATCACAAGAAGTTAAACATTACCTTACAATATAAATTAATAATCATGATTTGACTTGGCAAGTACCATTCCAGAGATTAAACAGAAGCAATTTTAATAGTTTCTTAAACAATACATTTATTCATGTGATTCTTGTACAATGAGTAAGCTTTCAATAAATTTAACATTGTAGACATTAATGGCCATTACTTATTCTTAAGAACGCCATTTAAGGATAGGCCCCTTGCGAACATCTCACTGCCTCTACTTTTCCTTCACATTTCAGACAGCCTACATTAATATTAGATTCACAATTAATATTTTATTGCGAATATGCATGTTTTGTAGAAGAAACATGTTCGAGTTGTTATATTATGTGCTTAGTTCACCAAAAAGTCTTGAGAGGTTTTTTTTTGCATGAATCTAAAACTACAATGCTTTTTTCTTGGTATATCCACGAGAGATACTTATGAGATAACGTGTGGTTTTTAATAGCTTTATACAACAGTTTAATCGGTTCAAATTGCTTGTGGCATTTATTTATACGTTCCCCATATAAAGTGTATGCAATATGGACATCACAACAGTCTACCTTTTGTTGTGTAAATCATTTAAATTATAAAGGTGAGGAACATCACATGATTCCAATTGTCAGCAAATAAAATATAAAGAAAAAATGTTTAATTTGGCAAACCATCATCATGACAAACATGCAACTTTAGTTTAAAATATAGATGATGGAATGCATTAAAAAGGCAATAGAAATGTCCACAAATGCATTGCTCTAAAACAGAGTTTATGCATTGCTGCCTGTGGTAAGGAAGGTGGCTTCAATTAATCCTGTGAGCACTCACCCATACACTTAACATAATTGGGTACCATCTGTTTTCATGTTAAGCAATCGGTGCTGATGCGTGGAAGTTGTGGGCCGGAACTGTGGGCTGGTTATGCGAGTCAGGTGAGAGCCTTCATTCTTTGCAAACAGGGAGAGGAGATTGGAATGTTTTTGGTATATTTTATGTCTATACATGGGTTAAAGAAGAAGAAAAAGTTAAAGAGGTAAGAACCTTTAATGTCAATGGGAGTACTACATTGCATGTAGTTCTCCAGAAGGGCTCTGCTTGGGTTTAATCTATCAGTACGATCAGATAGGTGCCATCTGTCCAGCAAGGAAAGCCCACATCCTTGCCTGTCTGCCCCTGGAATTGTTTAAAAGGGACAGCCATGTCAAACACAATGGAGGCTACACGCTCCTCATGGATTCAATGCAAATCTGCTGACTATAAACAATACACATTATGCAATGAATAATCAAAGCACATTGTTTATATTTTTAGTACACTGGATGAAGGCATGCGTAATCGGAAGTGTCACTATTATACACTACAAGTCAACTTTGCGTTGACCTTTCCTGCACGAATCTTCCAACCAGTCTAAGTACATTATGTGTGTGTATATACATACATACAGTTGACGAAATACTCAAATGGTATTGTACAGTACTTCATATATAGCTTCTAACAGCCTTCGTAATAACATGAGCACTAAAATCAAGACACGATTCCATACCCAGGTATAATCAGAAGACAACAAAAAAAAAACGCAGGCAGTAAGGCCATGCGTTTTTGACTGAACAATTCTGCTCGACCTCGGGACTGCTGCTGTATAAAGATCCCCACTGAAGCCCAACATAACAACCTAAGGTAGAACTAATAAAACAAATGTTGAGTGCAGCCTGCTCTCAGCTTCTGCTCTCTATACACGACAATAAAAGACTGAAGGACATATGGACAGGAGCCGAGATAACGTGCTTCCAGTCACAGAGCAGCCCACGCGGTTCAA